AAAAAAAAAAAAAAAAAGATAGAATTTGAAATAAGCATAGCCTTGATTAGTATATTGAACATATCCAGAAAATACCATACTCAGAGGTCAATGTTTGATTTAAGGGATATTCCCGTTGATACAAGAGATGTCCCTTATATCTTGGAGCTATAACCAATTTCTGCACAGCAACCATGAAAGCACCCTTTATATTAAAACAATAGAAAAAATATTTTTGCAATTACAATGTCTAGAAGTCTACAAATTGCTTCTTGTTACCATTTTTCTTCCTTGGTAGTACAGTTAGGACCATTCCCAGGAATGGAGAACAGTGTTCCTCAAATTCTGTTCTTGTACCACCTAAATTGGAATCCCTTGCCATGTACATGAAAATAGACATGAAATGTATATTTCCTGTGCTTCCACTACTGCTGATTTGGAATCTCTGGAGACGGGGCTTGGGAATTTGCATTTTAAGTAATCTAGGTGAGAAATATGTGGCCAAGCCCAAACTTTTTGCTAAATGATATGCCCATCTTTTCATTTGAAAAGTTAGGAAAATTTAATTCTCTTCTGTGGAAAGCATACAAAGAATTAGAGTTTCTCGGCTGAATTAAAACTGTTGAGCCTTAGATTTTTTGTAAGAAATATGGAAAAAGCAACCATTTCAGCTCACCAAGTTCTATAATAATTCAGAAGTCTCCAAATGTAGTTTAGCCCCTGCCCGGGTTAAAGAGTGACTAAAGGCAGTGTTTCCAATCCTGTTTTCCTCATGTCACTGTGCCCAAAGAACATGTCTTCATTAAGTAGAGAGCCTGGCTATTGTGTGTTTCCAGTCACACTGCTACACTTCAGGCACATCAGGCAAGAAAAAGCCTTTTGGAAAATTTTGAAGACCACCTACACTGGTTTTCTTAGAGCTATATTCCAAACCGATTTCAGTTCCAGGAAGAAATTCTTGATCCCTCAGATTTATTTCTTACCGAGGTTTAAATAGGCACTTGGTGTCTAGGATATAGGTATCTCTTTTCTTCATTTTTCTATCTCTGGTTTAAACATTCACCATCAGGTAAGGGAAATAAAGTTCATTTCCTTGTTTCCTTTCTCTTGAGTCAGGGTTTCTGAATCTCTATGATTTTTTTTAAAGTCTAATTAAGAGGTGTCTTCAGCCTTGTGGGACAGTTTTCATTTCCGTTCTGCTTTTTCTCCCTTCCTCTATTTCTCCACTTCCACAGCCCCATCCACTCCTTGTCTGAACTGCACTCCCCCTGCCCCCGCAAAACACCCAAAATGTTGCTATTCCATTATAAGTCAGAAACCATTTCCTAGTTCTTTTAGAAACCACCTATCATATTGCTTTTACAACACTGGTAAATAGCGGTCACCATTATTTTATTGTTAGAGGGATAGCACTTGAGTTGAAGGCCCTGAACTATTATAATACTAAAACTTAAAAGCTTGGATACTTAAAGATCTAGTAGCATGTTTTTCTTACCTGCTTCAATCAAAAATAACTAATGAGAATTAAAAACCATTTTGTCTTTGTGAATCTTTTCCATGTTGGATTAACCCTCATGCCAAAAGCCATCAGTCTTCTACTCATATTTGACTTAACATTTTTCTGGTCTGCTTTTGGTTATGGAAACTCACCTTAGAAACAGACTTAGTGCTATCTAAGCAAGTTAGCCTGCCTGTCTGCTCTTTATCCAATAACCTATAAACATTTGTGGCCCATGAATTCTCTCTTTTGATTATGTATTTACTTCTTGGTTAGCTGTTTTATCACTCAATCTGCCATCAGTTCATGAGATAAAGTACATACGAATCTTAACCTGACCAAAATAGTGGGCACCATTTCATTCATTTATTCACCAGATATTATCTAGGTGATAGTTCAACTGCTCTACGAGTCAAGTCTAGTAGTCAGTGAGATCCAATAACTTGACCATTTCCCCATGAAATTTTTTTCTGAACAGGTAGTATACATACAGTGTACATGGTAAAAGAAAAAATCAGATAGTTCAGAAAAGTATGCTATCAAAAAAGGTTCCCTCCCATCCCTGACTCTCAGTCTCTTAGTTCCTCTTCCCTGAAGGTAGTCAGCTATCATTTTCTTGTTTACTCTTCCAAAGAGATTCCATGGGTACATGAAGATGGATGGATAGATGTATGGATGGATAGGTAGACAGTCCATCCCTTCCTTAAAAAAAATCTCATACACACTGTTCTTCACCTTGTTTTGCTTTACCTAAAAATTTTATTAGTCATTATTTCTTGTTAATTCATAAATATCTTCCTCATTATTTTAAATAGGTATTTAGTATTCCTTAGAAAAAGTTTTGATGTGATGACATTTGTTTTAACAGAATTTGATCTGGTTTTTACAACAAATAAAATTGTCTCCATAGAGGCTTAACTTGTTTTTTAAACTGTATTTTTTTAACTTAAGAAACTTAACTTTTGAAATCTAGTAAATTCCACATATGTTAGAAGCAATCTATAAGTTGCATTTGAAAGCAGATATATTTTTTTCTCCCAGGTGATTTACATATACAGTTTCCTGTTGTATTATACATACATACATAACCTACAGCTTACCTCCTCTTTTATGGGAGAGAAACTAAAAAGAAAACATTGTTTATAATCATGTAATGTAGTTGGTTGATTACATTAAGCTAAAATATACTTTTAAGAATTATTTAATATCCCTATTGTACCTACTACTTTGTTTATTAAAGTTTGGAATGGGGATCCAGATGCCCTTTATTTATTTATTTATTTATTTTTAAGACAGAGTCTCACTGTGTTGCCAAGGCTAGAGTGCCATGGCGTCATCCTAGACAGAGTCTCACTGTGTTGCCTGGGCTAGAGTGCCGTGGCGTCATCCTAGCTCACAGCAACCTCAAACTCCTGGGCTCAAGCGAGCCTCCTGCCTCAGCCTCCCGAGTAGCTGGGACTACAGGCATGCGCCGCCATGCCCGGCTAATTTTTTTTTTCTATATATTTTTAGGTGTCCAATTAATTTGAACTCCTGAGCTCAAACAATCCGCCCGCCTCGGCCTCCCAGAGTGCTAGGATTACGGGCGTGAGCCACCGCGCCCGGCCTATGTGTGTCTATTAATACCTACTTTTTAAAATCATAGATGGTAGCATATTATACCTACTGTACCTTGCTCTTCTGGAGCACAAAGTGTTTTGCATCTTTATCTCGTTTAATACGCGCAATAGTTGTCGAGATAAGTATTCTTATTATCTGCATTTTATAAATAAAGACATCTCAATTTTTTAATAACTTGTTCAGTGTCACATAGCTTATAGTTACAGAATCTGTTTCCTCTGGTACTACTTATTTATTTAAACTTTTATTTTAAAACAATTTCAAACTTACAGAAAAGTTGCAAGAATAGAATAAGGAATTCACATACCCTTTGACCGGAGTCCCCATTTGGATTTCTGCAGCTGCTCAATAACGTTGGCAAAAGGAACCAACCCAGGATCACATGTTGTTCCCAGTTGTCATGTCTCTCTAGCCTCCTTCAATCTGGAACAGTTTCTTCCGTCTTTCCTTGACTTTCATGACCTTGATATCTTTGGAGATCATAGGCCAGTCCTGTCCACAGAGATTTTGTAGAATATTTCTCAATTTGTAGCTGTCCTAGGTTTTCTCATAATAATCCCCATATTATGCATTTTTGGCTAGAATATCACAGAAGTTATGCTGTGTTCCTCCCATTGCATCCTATCAGGTGGCACATGATGCCACTTTGTTCCATTATTCCCATTAAAGGGAGAAAAGAGAAAGGAAAATGGGTGAGAAAATAACTTACTGGCTTGCTTTTCAGAGAACTTCTGCTCAATAAATCTCTTTTCCTTGTAGCATCCTGGAGGAGAAGAGGTTCTGCTGGAACAAGCTGGTGTAGATGCAAGTGAAAGCTTTGAAGATGTAGGACACTCCTCTGATGCCAGAGAAATGTTAAAGCAGTACTATATTGGTGATGTCCATCCGGTAAGAACTCTCAGAGCTCGGAGAGCTTATGCAGAGAAAACTACTAAACAGTCACAGAACAGGATGAGGGAATGAATTATTAAAAGGGAAATTCATTCTACCCAGCAGTCAGGCTGAATTTTCTCTAAAATCATCTTAGCCTTACTGTGCTAAGATATAGCCTCTTGTTGGCCAAGCAGCACATGTATATCTCTGAAAAGCTAAGGGAATTGATTTGGGATTATTATTTTTATTGATTGATGTGTTTTTGTGATGCAGTTAATAACATCTCTATCTAAAATAGTGGTTTGACTGTACTTGCAAGTTCCTTGCTAAAGGTAGTAACTGGATGTTTTAAACCATCCGTACATACCATTCTAACAGGGCACCCTGATGGGGTTCAGTACCTATCTGAAGACCCAGAAGTCTCCCAGAGAATTCACTGTCACCAGAATGTAGTATCAAGTTCGAAGGTTAGAAACAAGCACAAAGTAAGAGTTTATTGGATATATCTTAAAATATTATTTGTTTTCCTCTTTTGAGCAGAGTGACCTTAAACCTGAAAGTGGTAACAAGGTAAGAAGTCATCAGCTTGTCTTATGTGTTTTAATTGTTTATATTTCTGTTTACTCAAGTAGAATTGCTTTTTAAAAAAATTATCTTAAGAGAAGTTAAAAAGTGTTTACTTTTTCCCCAAGCCAAAATCCTATTTTTCAGGAATTTGGACCCAGTACCATGTCAGGAAAAAAGAATAGCTGACTTGAACAGTAGGAAACATTTTGTTAATACGTCTATATGCTTTTTCAAAAAATTGAAACTCCAAAGCTATGCCGCGTATGGTTTTGAAAAAAAATTAGTTTATGGGTTCAGTTGCATAAAAGTGTCTTACTCTTTCATTATATAGAACAGGTGATAATAATTGCTTGTGTGCTGGAAAAAGAATCGGAAAGTTGGTTTTTTCTTACGAATTTAGTTATCTTGTTTATCTGTAATACAGAGAGGCCTTTCTGTACTTATTTCCTAAATTTAATTCTTTTATCCTGGAGGCTCAGATAGGCTCACATACTTCCCAGTTACTCAGTGATATGGGAAAAACAAAAGATTAAGTATTCAAGTATTTGAATACCTTAATGTGCACTCCGTTAGGTACCAGGAAGAAAATACGAAAGCCTTTTCTGCTTACCACAAGCCGTTTGGTTCATCTCCCTTATGTCCTTAAAATTTTCTTTGACTTCCATTCTTCAGATACCTGTTACACTGCCCTCTAATTTATTTATTTGTTTATTTATTTATTTTGAGACAAGATCTTGCTCTGTTGCCCTGGCTAGAGCACAGTGGCATCATCATAGCTCACTGCAATCTCAAAACTCCTGGGTTCAAACAATCCTCCTGCCTCCCTAGTAGCTGGGACAAGAGGCAGGCACCACCACACCTGGCTAATTTTTATGCAGACTGGGTCTCACTGTGTTGCCCAAGCTGTGCCTCCAGTTTAAAGGGAAAGCAGTTTAGGTGCTACCTAGAACACAGGGAAGCAATGCTGCCTCCCTCCTCTTTTCCTCTTTCTAGCTGCTTGCTTCCCTCCCATTCCTCATTGAGCCAGAATTACTGAACAGGTTTGACACAGCAGTTAAAGTTGGCCAAAACAAGAATTCTATCAACTCAAGAGATTGTTTGCTTGACATTGTCTGCCATGTGTTGCCCTGCAATCCAGAGTGTTTGTGTAAATTAACTCTTGCATCTTGCTAGCTTCTACTACTCTGAACTATTGAATTGTTTATGAAAGGGGAATGAAATAGTTCTTTCAACGCTTTGTAAGTACTGTTGGTTTGTTTATCTTCTTCGCCTAATATATGTACGACTCATTCTTGAATCCTCACTTGTGTTATTAAGATAGAATTTGAGGCCGGGCACGGTGGCTCACGCCTGTAATCCTAGCACTCTGGGAGGCCGAGGCAGGAGGATCGCTCGAGGTCAGGAGTTCGAGACCAGCCTGAGCAAGCGCAAGACCCCATCTCTACTAAAAATAGAAAGAAATTAGCTAGACAACTAAAAGTATATTGAAAAAATTAGCTGGGCGTGGTGGCACATGCCTGTAGTCTCAGCTACTCGGGAGGCTGAGGCAGAAGGATTGCTTGAGCCCAGGAGTTTGACGTTGCTGTGAGCTAGGCTGATGCCATGGCACTCTAGCCTGGGCAACAGAGTGAGACTCTGTCTCAAAAAAAATAAAAATAAAAAAATAAGTTCAGGCAATTCTTTTGGAAATAGAAGCTATGTGGAAGCACCTGAGGCACTAGACATGTGAGTGAAGATGTCATCTTGGACAACTAGCCAGTTGAGCTTTGAGGTGACTCCAGTCCCAGCTGCTGTCTAACTACATCGGAGACCCCCAAGCAGACCTACCCATGCGCAGTCATCTCACAGAACCATGACATAACAATAGTTGTGTTAGTCACTAAGTTTTGGGGTGGTTTGTTATACAGCAATAGATATCCTTAATACAATCCTTCAAAGTACCAGACCTAAATTTTCTGTAAAGCCTTACTTTGCTAGTCTAGTTAACATCACTCTTCTTTCTCTAGCTTCCATAGAAATTGATACCAGCTGGGTGTGTTGGCTCACACCTGTAATCCTAGCACTTTGGGAGGCTGAGGCAGGAGGATTGCTTGAGGCCTGGAGTTTGAGACCAGCTTGAGCAACATAGCAAGATCCCATCTCTACAAAAAATACAAAAATTAGCTAGGTGTGGTGACACACACCTGTAGTCCCAGCTATTCAGGAGTCTGAGGCAGGAGGATCACTTGAGCCCAGGTGTGTGAGGTTGCAGTGAGCTATGATGACACCATTATACTCTAGCCCAGGAGACAGAGCAAGACCCTGTCTCAAAAAAAAAAAAAAAAAACTTATCAATACTACACATTTTGTTATCCAACTGCATATATTATTATTTTTCATTACCTATATGCTAATCTGGACTCCATGACCAAACTATATGATCTTTGAAGATATCAAATAGTGGAAATATATCTTTTGTAAGTCCTTCAACAAGTCCTAGTATTGGACAAAAATGTCATTAATAAGCAATTGAACTGAATTAAAAGTAAGGGTTTCCTTCGTCATTTTAGCTCTCTGCCAACTATTTTAGATTTGACTTTCCATTAGGGTATCTTTGAGAGCACTCTTTTAAATCACCGTTATGAAAAGTATGTGTGGCAGCAGGCAGCTCTTAGGATCCTTCCACCTGACGACGGTGTTACAACGCAGTGGTTCTCAAAGTGTGGTCCAGAATCAGCAGTATCAGCATCACCTGTGAATGTGTTAGAAAGAAACATTCCTGGGCCTACCCCAAACCTACTGAATTAGAAGTTCTGAGGGTAAGGCCCAGCGTTCTGTTTTAACAAGCCTTGCAGATAATTCTGATGCATATTGAAGTATGAGAATCACTCTTGCAGTGGGGAGAGTCTTGGTTTTAAGGTCAGAAACTCTAGGAGTTTTTACTACTGACATTTACTAGTTGTATATCCATGAGAAAGTTACTTAATTTCCTCCAGTCTCTCTTTCCTCATCTGTAATATGATAATTCCAACCCTGCCATTCTTCTAGGAATGGGAGAGTCAAGTCAGATAATATTTACTCCGTTCTTAAAAATTGTAAAAGTTTAGTGGTGAAAACCACAAGTACTGATAAGTGGCTCTATACTCACAAGGTAGAATGGGATTAAACACAGAGTGGGATGCTTTCTTCTTTTTCCTTCCTGTCCTGGACTATTATTCTATCTTGTGTGGCAGGCCTTTGGTTTCACAGGTTCATGAGCAGTGGCTTATGTCACATTCCTAAATTGGTGCCAGATTATCTGTATAGACTTCCCTT